CTGGACTCAAATGATCCTCCTGCCTCAGCCTCCCAAGTAGCTGGGACTACAGGCATGCACCACCATGCCCAGCTAGTTTTTTCTATGTATTTTTAGTTGTCCAGCTAATTTCTTTCTATTGTTAGTAGAGGCAGAGTTTTGCTCTTGCTCAGGCTGGTTTTGAACTCCTGACCTTGAGCAATCTTTGCACCTTGGCCTCCCAGAGTGCTAGGATTACAGGCGTGAGCCACCTCGCCAGCCCAGAGGATCTATTCATGAAGTGCCAGTTAATTATGACAATGGTTATAATGCTGTGTGAGAGAGAGAGAGAGAGAGAGAGAGAGAGAGAGAGAGAGAGAACCCTGGCAGACTTAGGTGTCACAGTATTTTAGTGACATTTGGGGAAATCGGTTGGGGTTTTTGGACTGGCTGGGAATGTTTTCCCTCCACCTGGAATGATGGGTCTGTGCCCCCAGCATCTGAAATGCTGCTCTTCTATCTGTTTCCGGGGTGGGCGGGACTCAGGTGCATGCTGGTCATCGGGCTGCTGTTCGATGAGCGCCTACTGTGCGCCAGGGCCCACACCAGGTGTTGTCCTCTCTCCACCCCTGATGGAGGCAGTGGGGGTCTTTCCTGTCTTACCCAGCACGAGGGGAGCAGCGGGGACTGGGGCTGGGTGGCCAGCCCTGGTTGGCCTCTGCTGATGGGGCAGCCAAGACCCGTGAAGTGAAGTCACTGTGCGAGGGAGCTGGCCTGGGGAGGGGCGGGGCCCGGAGGGAGGGCCCCAGCGCTGCAGGGACAGCCTTGTGTGGGAAGCCTGGCCAGAGTACACAGGAGCTGGTCGGGGAAACTGGCCAGGGCTGGAGCTGCAGTTGCCTGGCAGAGGGAGGCCCAGCCTGGCAGCGGGGGAAACTGAGGCAGGAGTGTGGCCTTGGAGACAGTCAGGGCTGCGCGCCCTGGCCGGGCTCCTGCTGCAGCTGGTGCTGCCAGCTGCCGTCTTCCTGCTGCTGCTGCTCCCGGCAGCCGCCATCGTCTACCTGGGATTCCTGTGCCACTCAAAGGTGAGCCTGAGCCCCCGTGGGTGGGGGACTGGCTGCGGTCCCTGGGAGTGGGGGTCCCACAGAAGTTCAGGGCCCCTGGGGCCGAAAGCCAGTCTGCCCCCTTCCAGCACCACCCCTGTGTGCCGGGGACACACGTGCCTCCCCCTGGGAGCCCCTTCTTCTGCCCAGCACCCCCACTGTGGCCACAGCCAAAGAAGAGCTTTTGTTTGTCACCCAGGGGACAGCTCTCTCCCTTGTACCAGGGGCCACCAGGGCCTGGACAGCTAGAGGGGAGGAGTTGGGGGGAGGAGGGAGATTCCAGGCAAAGAAGATGAAACATTGTCAGATTTCACAGGAGCACAGCCCTCCCAGGCTCTCCTGCCCTGCGCTGGGCTCCCAACCTGCTGAATGGGCTGAGGCTTGGCCGGGGCAGGAAGGGCGTGGGCAGGTGGACCCGCTCCCTTCTCCAGGGATGGGGGCGGGACGGGGGTGGGGGTGGGGGTGGGGAGAAGCCGACAGGGTCTCAGGGCCAGATGCCAACGTGGAGAAGGGCCACGAGAGAGCAGAAGGGGGCAGGAAAACGGAGTAGGGGAGCCGAGGGGCAGTTCTCCGAGACCCTCCACAAGAGACCCCTATTCGGGCCATTTACGCTCTGGGTCCCGGGTGCCGCATTCAAACCTCAGTCGGGCCCCGCCCTCCGGACCCTCCCCCGGCTGGCCACCCCCCGACCGCCGTCCTTCTCCTCCCCGGGACCCCGCCCCTCCTCTCGCCCCGCCCCCACCCGGCCTGACCGCCCCCAACTCCCCAGGTCCACCCGGCCCCCGGCCCCCGGTGCCGCGCGCTGCTCTCGGACCGCGGCTCCGCGGCGCTCATCGTGTTCGGCTTCCTCTCGCTGCCGCCGCTGCTGGCGCTCGCCTCGGCCGCCCGCGCCCGCCTGGCCCGGCACCTCCGCCCGCCGCTGCAGTCCCCCACCCGGACCCCCGGACTCCGCTGCCGCCCGTGCTCCAGCGACCCGGGACTGGCGAGCCGCCGCCCCGGCGGGGAGGAGCAGCTCTGCGCCTGGGTGTGACCCCCGATGCCACTTCAAGGGACACTGAGGCTTGCCAGTCCCGGGAGTTCCCCGAGCTCCCCTGCGTGCCCCCAGGCCGGGCACGCGCGCAGCGCTCCGAGTGGCCGCGAGGTGGCACCCGGCTGCCCCGGACCCGGGTCGTCCCCGCCCCCTCCCCGCAGCCTCCTCCTTGCTGCCGGGCGGAGGTGGCCCCCCCCCCCCCCGGGGAGGGTCGCAGCGCGGAGCTCCAAGCAAGGCGGCCTTCCCGGCTGTGCGCGCCACGCTGGGCTCCCGCCCCCTCCCGAGGGGCTGCCCTGCGCCCTGCGCCCTGCGCCCTGCGCCCTGCGCCCTGCGCGGTCAGCCGCCGGGTCCCGCTGGTGCCAGGGCTGGTGAGGCTGGGAGACAGCGCACTGGGCCATAAGTCCTTGGCTCCAGAGGCTGCAGCGGGGGCAGGGCTCTCGGGGCAGGATGAGCGCTCACCCCCTGCCGGGTCGGGGCAGGGCTCGGCCTGTGACCGGGGCTCACATTTGGACAGGCACCAGTGTAGTAGCTTGTAATAGCTCATCTCCTCTCTGGATGATTTTAGATCTTTCCCTTGTCTTTGGTGTTCTGTGGCTTCACCGCACGGTTCCAGTTGTGGACGTGCTCTCATTGATCCTGTTTCCTGTTTCTGCGGGTCCGTACCTTTCATCTGTTCTGGAAAATGCTCAGCCTTCGTCCCTTCCATTTTCCTAAACCCTTCTCAGTACTTTCACGATCCTTTCACCTCCCACATCATGTAATCTCTGCTTGTATTTTCCTCCCCTTGTCTCTCCGCGCGCATTCTGGGCAATTTCATCTTCCCTTCCAGCTCACCGATTCATTCACTGTGTCTAATCCTCTGATTAACTCATCCATTTAATTTTATTATATTAATACATCTAAAAGTTATATTTGGCCAGGCACAGTGGCTCTGTAATCTTAGCACTTTGGGAGGCGGAGGATCACTTGAGGAGGATCATTTGAGACCTGGTGTTCCAGACCCCATCTCTAAAATAAATCAATAAATAGAAAAAATTAGGCAGGCATGGTGGTGCGCCTGTAATCCCAGCTACTTGGGAGGCTGAGGCAGGAGGATCACTGGAGCCCAGGACTTTGAAGTTTCACTGAGCTATGAGGATGCCACTGCTCTCTAGCTGCGTGACAGAGTGAGACTCTGTCTCAAAAATTAAATGAATAAATAAAACATTTTAATTTCCCCCCAGGTTTATCTGACCATTCTTCATGGTTTCTTGGTGCACGCCCACTTTTCAGATTCCAGTTTCAATTTCTTAAACATTTCATGTATAGTTATTCTATATTCTGTACCAAGTAATTCCAATTCCCAAGTCTTTCTGGGCCTGAATCTGTTATTTGCTGTTTCTACCAATTATCACCAATATCGTTTCGTTGCTTTGAATGCTCAGCAATTTTTTTTTTTTTTTTGAGACAGCCTCACTCTGTTGCCCGGGCTATAGTGCCATGGCATCAGCCTAGCTCACAGCAACCTCCAACTCCTGGGCTCAAGCGATCCTTCTGCCTCAGCCTCCTGAGTAGCTGGGACTATGCTTGGCAATTTTTAGTTGTCAGCCCCTATCTGTGACAACTTTGAGGTTCTAACTGGGGGATGCTTCCCTCCAGAGACCATTCCCCTCTTCGTGGCACAACCAACCCTGGCCCCTCGAGAGCCCTGGAGGGTCCTGGTTTAGTACCCCCTGCGCAGAGCACCCCCTGTGCCCGGATCTCAGGCCGGCCCTCTGTCCCTGTGTGTCCAGGGAATTCTCTGCTTCCTTTCACCATCCTGGGTCTCTGCTCACTACTCTATGTGCTTGTTTACTTATTTACGATGTTTGATTTGGGAGGGGTCTCTGAAATGTTTGCTTTCTCATAAGCCCAGCAGCCTATTAAAAATGTGTGTTCATTGTAATTCATCCAGAATCTAGTTGCAGCTGAAAGGCCTTTCAAAGGATCAAGAGCACCACATTGCCAGTAGGGCCAAGGCCTGACCTGTGACCACAGTTAGGGCTCATCCGGTGGCCTTGAGCAGAGACCAGTGTGTGGCTGGGTCAAGTCCTGCTAGGTCCAGCAGGAGTCTCAGGGGGTTTCCAGCCTTCATCTGCGTCCAGCTTTGGTACCTTTCCTGGTCAGACAGGAGCTGGGCCAGGGGCCAAGCTGCCAAGGACAGCTTTCCCTTGGCTGGGGCTGCCTTCCTTCCCCTCCTGGCCTGGCTGGGTAGGCTGTGGTCACCACCAGGGATTGAAGAGGATGACTCTCCTGGGAGGCCCCAGAGTCGTCAAAACAACAGCTGGGCCTGGGGGTGGGGAGGCGCAGTGGGGAGGGCAGCTGGCTGCAGCAGGGAGTTCTGTGCACTGCAGCTGCCTGGGCAGCCTGTTTCCGAAAGGTGTTCCCAGTTTCCCAAGCCCTAAGGCCCCACAGCCTCCAGCTGGCCCCAGGGAGGTGGAACACCTGTGGGGCTGTGGGAGGTGCACAAAAGGGTGTAGGAATCTGCTTTTAGGGGGGTGATAGAGCAGTGCTGGAGGGCAGAGGCCTGGCCGGCCCAAGGGAGGAGGCCGGGCAGGAAGGCAGGAGCCTTGGTGCTGTGGCCAGGAGACTGGGCCCTGAGCAGCTGGAACCCTTGATGTTTCCTGGCATTGGCCTCTTTCATGTGTCCGAAGTGGTCTTCCTCAGTTGCCACCCTCTGGGCAGGCTCCTTGGAAGAGAGAGGGGCAGGGGGAGGGGCAGTGGAATGAGGGGAGGCCACAAGGTTCCCCTCCTCAAGGCTTCTGTCCCCGACCTGGGCAGGACCCTACTTGAATCCCACAAACCTGTCTCCCACTAAGGAGCCCCAGCCAGAAGCCCCCTCCTTCAGGGCCCAGCCCAGCCCTATCCTGAAGGCGCCTCTGCCCCTCCCCGCGAGCCCCTCCCCCAGTCTGAGGTCCAGCAGCACCCCCTCTGCCTGGCTCTCCTCTGGCACAGGGGCCCGAACTCCTGGGGTGGAGGGGCCAAGCCACTGGTGGGCCTGCTGCAGACCTCCACCTCAGCAACACAACACAGGATCTTTCTGCAGCAGCGGCTGGGGCCCCTGCCCTGCAGGAGGGAGCCTGGGGCATGCATGTGCCCACGTGTCCCAGATGGGGGGGCACTGGCCCCACCCCACAGGTGAGGACACAGAGCTCTGGGAGGCTCCCACCTTGCCCGAGGGCACCTGCGCACTCAAGAGGCATTTCCAAGGTATATCCTCAGGCAGCGGGAGCAGCCAGCTTGGCTGGCTCTGTCCCCCACCCTGGGGTGTGGAGCAGGGTCTGAGCCTGGGTGGGTGGGCTGGCTCTGAGGGCTGGGGCCCTCCTCCTGCCCCACCTCCCGCCCCACCAGGTGTTGACTCAGGCCTGTCCCCTCCCTGCCTCCTCCTTCCCCATCCAGGCCCCTGGGGGTCTCTGGGCTGCCCAGATGCAGACAGGCTGCTTCAGAGCCTGCTTGGCCCCTAGCTGGGGAGGGGGAGGGCATGGTGGCCACCTTTTTGGCACAGAAGGGCATGCCAACAGAGAGGACCAAAGCTATGGGGCCCAGATCAGGAAGGGGTGCCGTTCAGTCGGCCACGGAGGCTAAAAATCCAGGAACACCTGGGGTGCTCCTTCCGGCTCCCACCCTGCCCACTAGATGCTGCCTCTGGGTGCCCAGCCAGGTGTCTTCCCCAGGCCTGGCCTCAGCCCCAGCCCCCACACAGCCTGCCCAGGCAGCACCTCCCTGTGGCCTGGGGCCCCAGGCTGCCTGGCCCTGGACGTCTGGGCCCAGGCCCCTTCAGCCCTCACACACCGCCCCCAGGTCACAGCCTCCCAGTCCTGGCTTTTGCTGTCCCTCTGCCTGGAAGGCTCTTCCTTCCTGTAGCTCCTGCGTTTGGATCCCCCCTGACCCCCCCAGTCTCACAGGGTCCCCACTCTACACAGGGTAGAAGCAGAGGCCCCTGCCCAGACCCCAACCAGCCTGGCAGTGCTGGAGGGAGGGGGCTCTGCCCAGGCCCAAGTGTCTCCGGGGCAGAAGCTGGAGTGTGGTCGGGCCGGGCATGCAGAGGACAGGGGGACAAACGCAGATGGGGCGGCACCCACCCCGTGCGCAGGCCACCCACTTGCTGGGCGTCTTTCCTGCCACCCCTAGCTGCTGCTGGCGGGGTCAGCTCTGGGGCCAGAGGGGGAGGCCTGGGCCCCTGAGGAGTGGGACGGGACCCCCAGGCCCAGTCCGGCGCGTCCCAGACCCTGATGGGCAGGTGGAGTCTGGAGCTGGATGGGCTCTGCTGCTCTTGCCACCCCCACCCTGTCACCACCCCATCCCACTCTCTGTTTGGGGGGGGTCCTTGGGGCTCAAGCTCACCCCACACCCTGCCCCAGACTGTGGTGGCTGCCCCCCTGCTTCCTGTCTCTGTGTTCCCATGTGTGCACGAGTACTTGCGTGCGGCACAAACAGCACCGAGAACAGCAGTACACAGCTGGGGTGGGGCCCCAAGGCGCTCTGCCCTCGGCTAGGGTCAAGGGTGGGGTCGGAGGCCTCAGGAGCTGCCCTTTTCCCTGGGGTTGAGCATGACCACAGCCAGCCAGGGACAAAAGGCCCTTCTTCTCTGCAGAAGCCCGGGTCAGGCGGAGGAGGGAGCATTCCGGGTGGGGGCAGGGCGGTGTCCGGCTGGGAGCAGTGTCCCGGGGTTTCCCGGAACCCCCTCCACCTGCCTGCAGAGCCAGGCAGGGGAGGGAGGCCAGCTCCGGGAAGGGAAGTGAGGTGCAGGGACTCCCCAGACCTGGGCCAAGGCTGTCGGGGTGCTGCCTCCTCCTCTAGAGTCCCCAGGACACCAGGACCAGGCAGGGACTGTCCTGGGGGTCAGAGGGCTAGGGGCCAGGATCCCCCCGTGATCTGGCCTGGCCCGTCCTTGCTCTGGGGACAGTCTGCCCCTTTGCCCTGGGCCTGTCTGCCTTCAGAAGAGGCTTCCGGACGATTATATTTGTGCTTCCTCTGGCGTCTGCCTGAAGCCCAGCCCTGGCCCTGACCACGGCACCTCTGGCTGACCCCGCGGCGCTCCCTGGGACCCTCTGCCTACCCGCGTCTCTCCTCTGGGGGTGGGGGTGGGGGTGCAGTGGGGAGAAAGAGTTGCCTCACGCTGGGGCAGGGGCGGAGATGGGCGGAGCCGCAGAGCAGGGGGAGGGTCTCCAGGGAGCAGCAGGAGGGACTCTGAGCTCCAGAACAGAGCAGGTGGCCTGGCCAAGGCTGGGTGGAGGCCGGGCCTCCTGTGGCTCCTTCTCCCGATGGCAGAGCTGGAGGGAGGAGGGTGGCTGCTTCCTCGAGGGCCTGGGTCACCGCCAAGAAGACCCGCTCACTTTTTCCAGAAGTGACGGAAACTTCCCCTGAGCCCAGCAGCAGGGCAGGGAGGTGTGACTGGGCCGCCCAAGGGGCAGGACAGGGCACTGGCTGTGAGCAGCTGTCTCCCCTGTGGCCCAGCTGCCCTGGCTGTTTACCTGGTCTGCTCCCCACTGCACCCCAGCTGTCCGCTCCCCCACCGCCCGCCCCGTGCCCCTCTCCACAGCAGCCCCGGCGTGCTGGGGGCCCCTCTCCACAGCAGCCCCGGCGTGCTGGGGGCCCCTCTCCACAGCAGCCCCGGCGTGCTGGGGGCCCCTCTGCACAGCAGCCCCGGCGTGCTGGGGGCCCCTCTGCACAGCAGCCCCGGCGTGCTGGGGGCCCCTCTCCACAGCAGCCCCGGTGTGCTGGGGGCCCCTCTGCACAGCAGCCCCGGTGTGCTGGGGGCCCCTCTGCACAGCAGCCCCGGTGTGCTGGGGGCCCCTCTGCACAGCAGCCCCGGCGTGCTGGGGGCCCCTCTCCACAGCAGCCCCGGTGTGCTGGGGGCCCCTCTGCACAGCAGCCCCGGTGTGCTGGGGGCCCCTCTGCACAGCAGCCCCGGTGTGCTGGGGGCCCCTCTCCACAGCAGCCCTGGTGTGCTGGGGGCCGGGACAATGAGGCCGCTCTGAGTGGCACACCTTGGACTTTGGGGGCCCATGGCCATGCTCCCCCCACCAGGCCAGGCAGTTTCTGGTCCCAGCCGAGGCCTGAGGTCTGTGGAGTGGAGCCAGCGCAGCCACTGCCAAGATTCCCAGCAAGGGGGGTGGGGGACCCAGCGGGCGGCGGGGACACAGTTCTTGCTTGTTCCTGCCGCCAGCTCCTCAGCCTCAGCCCGGCGCTTCCTTTTTTAGGCAAAGTCGAGCTCCAGCCACCCTTGGGGCTCCTCGGTGTCTCACCTGCCAGAAAGGGAGGAAGGAAAACCATTGAGTCCCTCATTCCTCCCTGCAGCATCCTCTGGGACAGGGTGGGAAGGGAGGGGACATCCTGGCAGACACCCCCACCCCCACATGTGTGCCCCACCCCCAGCCTGGATCGGAGGAGGGCCTGGAGGAGGTGATGGTTACCCTGAAGTCAACTGCCCCGGGAGTTGAGTGTCCCTCGGGATACCCCGCCATGCCCCAGCCTCTAGCCTGGGCCTCCTTGTTAAGCTCCAGGACCCACGAGCCCTGCTGACCAGTGGGCTCCCCAGTCCTGCTCTGGGTCTGACCTCAGTCATGGAGTCTGACCTGGGCCCCGTAAGGTATGGGAACAGCAGAGGCCCAGCAAGGTCACCGTGGACAGGGCCTGGCCAGCCACTCCCTGCTGCCTCCCAGAAGGCCAGCCAAGAAGCTTCTCCTCAGCCATCTGTCCCCTTCCAAGGCCCTGTCTCCTTCCTAGGTTGGACCCCCAAGGCCCTTCCAATCTCTGCTGGTCAGTCCTGGGGACTGTCCCAGTCCCCCAGACACCTCTCCTACTCTGGCCCTGGGACGGGGTGAAGCCAGGTCCAGTGCCTTATTGGGGGTTCTCTTGGGCCTGTCTTCGGGGACATCCAGCAACTCGGGGTCAGGGGAAGTGGGGGGCTTGGGATGATGTAGCCTGGTGACTCCCTGCTGGCTCCCACGGCCTGGGTGGGTGGGAACCTGCGGCCTCCAGGCCACATATGGCCTTCTGTTTCCTAAGGTGCGGGCTTTCGACAGAATCCAAATATTACAGAACAAAGGGATTTGTTCCGTGGAGGGGCTGCACACTCTTGGGGATCTGGAGGCCACAGGAGGCGGTGGAGCTACAGGTCCACACCCTGCCCCAGAGCCTCACAGGCGGGAAAAGGGAGACTGGAGTGCCAGTGTATGCATGCCCACGGCGCGGTGCCTCGGTCGTGTCTGCGCCGCCGCTGCGTGTCCCTGCGCGTCGGGTTCCGCCCGCGTGTGCGCCCCTGCGCCGTCAGCGCGGTCGCCCTCTGCGCTCGGGCGAGTGCTGGCGGCCTTGGGGCGGGGCGGGGCCTCCCGGGGTAGGGCGGGGCCTCCGGGGCGGGGCGGGGCCTCGGGCGGCGGGCGGCCGCGCGCAGCGCGCTCCGCAGCCCAGGACCGAGCGAGCGGCGAGCGGCGAGCGCGTCTCGTCCCGTCGCGCGCGATGCTCCCCTGGACGGCGCTCGGCCTGGCCCTGAGCCTGCGGCTGGCGCTGGCGCGGAGCGACGCGGAGCGCGGTGAGTGCGGCGGGCGGCGGGCAGGTCCTCTGCTCTGGGCGCCCCCTCTGTGTCCCCGCGGCCGCGGGGCGGGTGGGCGAGGAGGCGGCGGGGGCGGGGGCGCGGGCAGAGCGCCCCACCCACCCGCAGCGGGCGCGCCCAGGTGCTCCCGGCGGGGGCCGCCCCCCCCAGGCCGCAGTCTGCCCTCCCCGCCCACATTTCCGCGGGATCGCGGGGCCTGGACGGGAAGAGGCAGATGTTTGTCTTAGGGTTGTGGGGGTGGCCCCCGCCTCAGTTTCCCTACTTTTGCAATGGCCCTTAGTAGAGGGGAAAGTGGGAAGGTTGGAGTCACCCTACCGCATTAGGGAAACCTCACGGCTGGTCCAGAATGGAAACACTTGAGCTCCTTTCTGCCTCAGTGGTGGACCGGCCCATCTACTTCCCCCACCCCCGCGGGGTGCCTGGAGGAAGGGGGAGGCCCGAGAGGGGGCCGGCAGCCCTCAGGCTGTCGGGGGTGTATCCTGCTATCCGGGTCCAGATGGAGCAGAGGATGGGGCCGTGCGGGGTGACATCATCTGTAAGTGGGATCTGACTCCAGCCCGGCCATCTGGGCTGGGGGGGGCTGTGTTCAGTGCTCTGCCTCCCCTGTCCCTCCACCTCTGCTCCCCACCCTCCCCTGCTGCTGTGTGCATGCCCAGGGCCAGCGGCCTCACCTGGAGGCCAAGCTGCTGCATGGCTGAACTCCAGCCTCAAAGCTGCTTCTCCAAAGCAAAGCCTGAAGGGAGCAGCCCCAGGGCTCAGGCCAGTCCTGGGGTCTAGGCCAGGCCCCAGGTTCCACCTGCCTGCAGGGCTGCTGAGGAAAGGCAGGGTGTCAGGGCTTGGACAGGTCAGCTCTCCTCTGCAAATGGGACAAGCCAGACAGTGCCCTAGGTCACATGGCCAGCGTGCAGAGCTGGAGCCCACCGAGAGGATGGGCCTCTTGCTTGGCTCAGAAGCCCCTCTCTCCCCTGGGCCCAGGACCTTCGGGCGAGGGCAAGCACCTGCTTGAGGAAAGCGCAGGTCATGAAGGGCTCTGCCCAGGGCGTGGGGCTGTCTGGGGGCACCCATCACCTGGGGCTGAACACTCGTCCTTTCCCTCAGGTCCCCCAGCATCAGCCCCTCAGGGGGATCTGCTGTTCCTGCTGGACAGCTCAGCCAGTGTGTCCCACTACGAGTTCTCCCGGGTTCGGGAGTTTGTGGGGCAGCTGGTGGCTCCAATGCCCCTGGGCCCTGGGGCCCTTCGTGCCAGCTTGGTGCATGTGAGCACCCAGCCATACACCGAGTTCCCGTTCGGCCAGCACAGCTCAGGAGAGGCTGTCCAGGATGCCATACGCACTGCGGCCCAGCGCATGGGTGACACCAACACCGGCCTGGCACTGGCATATGCCAAGGAGCAGCTGTTTGCTGAAGCAGCAGGTGCCCGGCCAGGGGTGCCCAAGGTGCTGGTGTGGGTGACAGACGGTGGCTCCAGCGACCCCATGGGGCCTCCCATGCAGGAGCTCAAGGACATGGGCGTCACCGTCTTCATCGTCAGCACCGGCCGTGGCAACCTCCTGGAGCTGTCGGCGGCCGCCTCAGCCCCTGCTGAGAAGCACCTGCACTTTGTGGATGTGGACGACCTGCACATCATCCTCCAGGAGCTAAGGGGCTCCATTCTCGGTAGGTGGGGGGAGGCAGGCCCCGAGGGGAGCCCTAGCTGGGAGCTGCAGGAGAGGCTGGGTCGAGACTTCGGAGGGAACTCATGTGCCCGAAGTGGTGGCCAGGGCCATGGGGACTGCGGAACCCCCAAGGGTGCAGTGGGAGGGAAGTGACACAGAGCTTCTCTGTGTACCGTCCAGGGACACTCCAGGTAGGCACCTTGCTACCTGGGCTGTGGAGAGGCAAAGGGGCTGGCTTCTGGCCGATGGGCCCAGGCTAGGCCTGGAGGCCCCATGGAGTGGCTGAGGGACTGAGGGGCCACAGCTGGTGGGACGTGGCTAAGTGGGGAGGATGGGCAGAGTCTAAGACTGGGAACTCTGCTGAGGGGTAGCATGTGGTCCTGTGCATGTCCGGGGCCTGCTGCCTCACCTGGCCCAGCACAACTGGAGAGGAGACAGCCAGGAGGCCAAGGACTGCTTCCCTCAGAGCACAGAGCAGGAGGGTCTGAGCTGGTTTGCACCCAGGGGATTGCCTGGAGGAAGAGCGGACCAGGGAAGGCCTGCTGCAGGGGCCGAGCAGTACCCACTGGCTTTTCTCTGGACCCCCCTGCCCCAGCTAAGCTTGAAGGGAGAGGGGCTGGAGATAAGGGGCCTGGTCACTGACTGGAAGGCCTGCTGTAGCCACTGAAAAATGCACCAGCCCCAGGGTTCCTACCAAGGCTCCACCTGTGAGTTCAGCATCCACCCTGAACCTGAAGGGGTTGGACTGTGGGCTGGACAGGGTGGAGGGTGTTCCCCAAGGTTCCCCAGGGACTTGTGACCCCTAGCAGCCCCGGGTCAGTCAAGGCAGCTGAGTCTGGAGGGGACAGAGGAGAAAAGGCTGCCTTAAGCAGCTGGACAGGAAAAACCTGAGGCTGCAGGGCAGAGGAGCCAGGCAGTAGGGGCTGGGCTATGGGAAGGGGGCAGGGCCTGTGGGGGATGGGCAGGAAAGTGACCCAGGCCCCAAGCACTTCCGGAGGAAGTGTCAGGATCCTGATAGGTTTAACTCCACCTGACAATTATCAGCCTTAGTCCGCTAGCCATGTGGTGCTTGGTGTCTCAGGCTCAGGGGTTCCACCGTGGAGTCCCCCACACCACACTCTTCTGGGGACTCAGGCAGGCAGGCAGCACCTCCTGAACCCCAGGTCCAGCTGCCCCTGAAGCTGTCGAACCTCCCTTGCCCCGCCCTCCCCCGGGCCTCCCCCTGTGGTCTCCAGTCTCCTGGCTGCACCCGGGAGAGCCTGCTGACCCAAGGTCCTGTGCCGGCCACTCAGGCTGGGAGGCTGGTCCCCTGTTCTCGGATACCACTGTGGGCCCTGCCACCTTTGAGGAACCTCTGTTCAGGCCACAGGTCTGGGTGGGGAGGTGGCCACTATACCTGCCCCCCCTCCAAGACTGGATTTGGGGCTGAGAGAGGTAGGGAAGCTCCTGATAGGGCCTCAGTGGGGGGCTGCACCGTGCACCTGTCTGTCCCCCACCTCCGCCATTTTGCATATCATTAGCATCCACTGGCCTGGCTCCGCTGGCCTGGCTCCGGCATCTGCCTGGCCTGGTGGCCCCACTTGTCCTAGGAGGGCCTCCCATGTCAGGAGCTTCCCTGGACCAGGCAAGGCCCCACCCTCGGGCAGAGGAGGCGCTGACCTGGGTACCCTGGCCCCCACACCACCCCCAGACGCCATGCAGATGCAGCAGCTCCGGGCCTCTGAGATCACGTCCAGCAGCTTCCGCCTGTCCTGGCCACCCCTGCTGACCACCGACTCTGGCTACTACGTGCTGGAGCTGGTGCCCAGGGCCGAGGCCGGGACCCCGAGACGCCAGCAGCTGCCGGGCAACGCCACGGACTGGACCTGGACGGGCCTCGACCCCGACACTGACTACGACGTGGCGCTGGTGCCCGAGTCCAACGTGCACCTCGTGAGCCCCCAGCACCTGCGAGTGCGCACGCGTCCAGCCGAGCCGCCGCCGTCTGCGCTCCCGGCCACCCCCGCCCCTGAGGAGGAGGCGGGGCCGGCGCGCATCGTCATCTCGCACGTCCGGCCGCGCAGCCTGTGCGTGAGCTGGGCCCCGGCACCGGGCGCGCCCGCCGCGGTCGGCTACCACGTGCAGTTCGGGCCGCTGCGGGGCGGCGCTGCGCAGCGCGTGGACGTGCCCGCGGGCCGCAACAGCACCACGCTGCAGGGCCTGGCGCCCGGCACCGCCTACCTGGTGACCGTGACGGCCGTCTTCCGCTCCGGCCGCGAGAGCGCGCTGTCGGCCAAGGCCTGCACGCCCGACGGCCCCCGCGCGCCCCGACCCCTGCCGCCTGCCGCGGCGGCCCGGGGGCCGTGAGCCTTGCGCGCCCGCGTAGCCGAGGGGGCTGGAGCCGAAGCCAAGGTTTTGCCCCTGGGACGGGGTGCTGGCCTGTCCTTTGCCCCACGGGGTCTCTGCGGGGCCGCCCAGTCCTCTCCCTGCGGCCACAGGCTCCCGACGCCGCGCCTGCCTGCTCTGGCGGCAGCGCATGCAGTGGCCACCCTCTCCCCTCCCCGCCCGGAGCCGGGCACCGGTGTGGGACTTTGGGCAGGATGAGCCGGGAGATGAACAAGGCGAGACCCCAATGGATGGGCGGCCAGACCTCCTGCTGTGTGAAAGGCCGTGCCTTCTGGTAGCATGGGCTGGAGAGATCTTGGTCCACCTGGTGGCCCTAAGCCCCCAGGGCCACTCAGATCCTGGATATTGGTGGAAAGGGGCAGGACAGGTCTCCAAAGGCTGCCCGAGGGAAAGGAAGGGTAGAGAGGGATGCGAAGAGGTGGAAGTGTTGCCAGGTGGTCTTCACCAGGACACCTGCTGGCCTGGAGGGCAGTGCCTGCTAGGGACTGTGGCCCTGCCTTCCTGCTCAGACCCCAGCTAGGCCAGGCTAGCAGCCACTAGCATGCAGAGGGTGCCTTTGGGAGGAGCAGGACCAGAGCCTGGAACTCAGGGCCTTGAGGACAGGAGAGTCCAACACACAGGGACGGGCTCCCAGGCCAACACTCCTCTGCCTGGGGGACAGAGGGAGCAGGGACAAGGTTCCCCAGGGGGGTTCCCCTGTGGCTTTGCAGCATGACACCAAGGGCTACCTCCTGGCACCACTCATTATCCTGGGCCGTCAGACAGGTTGCCAAGGGCAGGGTGCCTGGGCATCCCTGGTCCCCATCTGCCCCCAGAATTGCCTGCATCACTCAACACTCACGTCACCTCTCTTCCTCACTAACATCCCAGACTTTAAAATTCAGTAAACCAGATGTAAACGAGCCTGCAGTCTCCTTAGAATGCTTTACTCCTTGCAGAACACACCAGCTGTGGACAGGGCAGCTTGTAAAAGGTCCCATATGTGTCAGGACCCATGGTGTGTCTGGGAAGGGTAGGTTACTGTAAGCTGGCCCTCTGGCACCGGGACACAGACCACCAGGGCTGTGTGGTCCCTGCGTGCACCTTCAGAGAGCCTGGGCCCCATTTCTGTGGGCCTGGACCCCGAGGCCTGGCCTGGGGCAGGGTTCCGGGATGCAGAGGACAGGGGGCCCGGCTCTCCCTACAGGGACATCCCCACCACAGCCTTGGGCCCATTGCCCACTGCCCAGCCCACACGGGTGCCCTCTGCTGGCAAAGCCACGCCCTTGCCAGGGCCCCTTTGCTAATGGGAAACTGCTCCCAACCTGAGGAACTGCAGGGTTGAAGGGTGATCTCTGGTGGCCAACTTGGGGTTCTCAGTCTGCCCGCTTGGGCGGGTGTGCAAGGCAGCCTTCACGGGAGCTGGCCTGCTGCCGCCCCCCAAGAACCTGACTCAGCATCACACAGCCCCAGGTGGAGCCCAAGGCTGCACTGCCCATCTCCAGGTGTGGAGGGCCAGCAGCGTGCAGCTCACAGCTCAGGATTTGCTCTTGTGTGTGAGGACAGCACGAGACACAAGGACACCCGCCTTGCCTGTGTGAGCAGGGGTGTGGGGGCCGTTGCTGAGGGGCGTTGGGTTTCCCCTCTGAACTCCCCTCTGCCCAAGTCAGGCCCAGGAAGCCTGACTGAGACCAGGCTGTGTGCCGTGCCAGCTAACCCTAACCCCAACCCCCTCTGTGCAGCCCCAGCCCCACCTGTTCTCCAGTGTGCCTGCAGGTTTCAACCTGTCGGCGCCTTGAGAGGACGGTCCCCCTTCCACACTGAGCCCAGGCCCAGCTCACACAGCGGCAGCTGAGTGCCAGGGTGTCATCTCCTACTGGTAACTGTCACGGTGCCTCCCTTGGGTGGCTAAGACTCACACGAGAGTCTGTGACGAGCTCCTCCCCCAAACGCACCTATAGTCCTGAGAGGGCAGAGCAGGTCCCACCGGCCAAAACCCTGCTCCCTCCAGCCCTGTCTGGCAGAGGCACCTTTCTGGATGCTGAGGCTCAGCGCCAGCTATTTGGCACCGGCACGAGGTGGGAGGAGCCCCCACTGTCATCTCCATGCCAACGGAGACCTCTTTCAGAAGCCCTCATCTCAGAAGTGCTGACCCCTCACTGTCCCAGGCAGTTTTTATTTTTTAATTAATTAATTAATTAATTTGAGACTGAGTCTCACTCTGTCACCTGGGCTAGAGTGCCGTGGCATCAGCCTAGCTCACAGCAACCTCAAACTGCTGGGCTCAAGCAATCCTCCTGCCTCAGCCTCCCAAGTAGCTGGGACTATAGGCATGCACCACCACGCCTGGTTCAGGCGTGTCTTTTTTCTAGAATTCTCTGAATCTGGATCATGCCTCCAAGCAGCGCTGGCCCTGGGAGTAGCCTCTGGAAAAGTTCTGTCTTGGTCTCTCTGTGAGCTGGCTGTCCCCTGGCACACTCCTGCCCTGGTTTGGTCCACTCTGGGTCCAGGACACTGAGCAGAAGCTGACGCCTGCCAGGACTTACACATGCACCAAGGCCACAGTGAGTTTTTTGACATGTATCTGAAAATCAGAAAGAGCTGTGGTTGCTTCTGGTTGAGACAAGAAAAGAAACAAGGTTGTGACCCGTGTGGCAGGTGTCCAGGAGGCCAGGGTGGGCAGAGCCGGGGAGGAGCCCCGGAGGGAGACTGCAGCAGGCTCAGGGGCAGCCCTCACGCCTGTGCCGGTCTCCGCCCTCTGTGAGGCAGCACGGCTGGTCCTGCCCCACATTTGAAGAGGACACCCCTGGGGATTTCGCCAAGGCTGAGCGTCAGACTGGTCCATGAGACGCTACTTCACCGGGCAGCCTGGCATTTGTCCGCTGGCAGGAGGCCCTCAGGGGGCTGAAATTCATGCCCCCCCCCCACAGAGTAACTGCCCTCCCAGCGCCCCAAGCCCTGGGGACAGAGGGAGCCGGAGGGCAGCAGAGGGTCTGCAGTCCAGATCTCCGGGAAGTGGGGTGTCCAAGAGTGAGCCCTGCAGCTGGGGACCACCAGTGAGACTCTAGTTACCTCCCTTGAGTGGGAGCTGTTTCCATAGTGACAGCAGTAAACGATGGGAAATCCTGGAGGCGCAGCCCCACGTGACAGCCTTCCACTGGCAAGAAGGGAAGACTTAGGAAAATTGGAGCTAAAGTGCAATAGCTGTGTGTCTCTCGCTTTTTTTTTTTTTTTTTTTAGAAGGGAAGACTTAGGAAAATTGGAGCTAAAGTGCAATAGCTGTGTGTCTCTCGCTTTTTTTTTTTTTTTCTGGGATGAAAAATATTCTTCCAACATTCAATTTTGTAAAAAGCTGGTAGAAGTTATATCTCCTCCTGGAGATGAGTGTGGGGAGTAGGGATGCCCGGGAGACCCCTAGGGGCTCCAGTGGACAGATGAGGGGTGGACCCAGCCTTAGGCAAGGGGCTCTAGAGCTGCTCTTCTGGGTAGGGGGAGGGGAAGCAGAAGTGAAAGCTGCAGTCTCCTGGGCAGCGGGAGGGGCAACCTCTGATCTCTGACCCCTGCCACCTTGCCCACATTTCAGAGATGGACTTGCCTTGACAGATTACACCCTGTGTGCCGCACAGTCTGAGCTTTTGAGGGAAGAAAGATGCCCCTTGTCCCTGCCAGGTGTAGGGACAAGCAGAGGCAGGGTGGAGGGTGGCTGGCAGCCTGTCTGAGCCTGCAGCAAGAGGGAACCACAGGCTGTGGGACAGGAGGCCACACTCCGCCACAGCACAGGTGGGGTGCACAGTGCTGCTGCCTGCCGGGGAGGGGCGGGAGCCGAGAACATCCCTACTCAACAGGTGGCCTGGGACCTTCACCTCCTGCCCCACTGCCTCTTCTGCTCCAAGGCCAGCCCCCGGATAGGGAGGTATCCCACCCATGGTAGGCAACTCTTCACAGCCCCTCCCAGAGTGTCCATGGGACATGAAGGCACTGTCATGGCCATGGCTTTGAGGGGATCTGCTCCCAGACCATGCAGCTAACTCTGCTTTTCTCTGGGGAGGGCAGAGTTCCCACCTCAGCCCTGCAAAGGGTGGGCCAGTACTCACAGTGTGTCACCTGACCCTTGAGGGGGGCAGGGCAGCTGAGTGCCTGTCTTAAGGCCACTCATGACTGCACATGACCTGGAAGTGTGCACACCTACAGAGTTAACTTCAGGGCCTCTGGTGGGGACATGCTGGCTATACTGGCCCTTCTACAGGTGGCTCTGCAGGTCCAGCTAGGAGAAGGGGCTGCTTTGGGGGCAGAGGACAGTATGCAGGGTTGCCACAAGTAGGCAACTGCTTACCTAAACAGAGCACCAAACAAGAAGACAAGCTACATAGCTGCAGGGGAAGCCTGGAGGGGCCTAGCGATCTTTGGGCTCAGTCCTAAGTTGCTCTACAGTCCTGAACCCAGCACTGCTACCCATATTACCTCATGGTGACCACTGTGCCTTGGGGAGGAGCTGGCAAGGGCTGGCCAGTTGCAAAAGCCTGTTGAAAGCTGGGAAGCTTTCCTTTCAGCTGGGCTGGGGCCTGCCTGGTGGCGGCAGGGGCAGGGTGCACATGCTGGTGGGGCTGATGGGCTGCCGATGGGCTGGGGCAAGTGGGAGTGTGACCAGAGCCAGGGGTCCTGTGGAAGCTGGAAAGAACCTGAAGGCCGGCACCTCTAGGGGAGCGAGACTGCAGAGTGACGTGGGGGCAGCCAGCCGCAGGCTCATTCCCTTGCATGAGCTGCTCCCAGTGTCAGAGGACAAGCTTTGCATGGGCACGGTCAGTGTGGGGAAGCCCTGCGGCTGGGTCACTGGGCCAGGGGCCACACTAGAGGGCTACAGGTCTGGCATGCTGTGCAATTCCCCAGAGGTTACAGAAGTGAAAGACTCAGAAACCACACTTGGGCTGGGCGCAGTGGCTCACGCCTGTAATCCTAACACTCTGGGAGGCCGAGGCGGGAGGATCATTTGAGCTCAGGAGTTTGAGACCAGCCTGAGCAAGAGCAAGACCCCATCTCTACTATAAATAGAAAGAAATTAGCCAAAACAACTAAAAAATATAGAAAAAATTAGCCAGGCATGGTGGCGCATGCCTGTAGTCCCAGCTACCCGGGCTGAGGCAGGAGGAATGCTTGAGCTCAGGAGTTTGAAGCTGCTGATGCCACGGCACTCTAGCCTGGGCAACAGAATGAGACTCTGTCTCAAAAGAAAGAAAGAGCCAAGCGCGGTGGCTCACGCCTGTAATCCTAGCACTTTGGGAGGCCGAGGCGGGCGGATTGCTCAAGATCAGGAGTTCGAAACCAGCCTGAGCGAGACCCTGTCTCTACCAAAAATAGAAATAAATTAATTGACCAACTAAAAATATATATACAAAAAATTAGCCGGGCATGGTGGCGCATTCCTGTAGTCCCAGCTACTCGGGAGGCTGAGGCAGGAGGATCGCTTGAGCCCAAGAGTTTCCAAAAGCCACGGTGACGCCACTGCACTCTAGCCCAGGCAACAGAGTGAGACCCTGTCTTAAAAAAAACCAAAGCATGAGCAAGTGTTGAGCTCTGGGCTGTGACGTGTTTGCTGTAGGTGGGCGACATGTCCCGTGGTCTGCAGTTTACTCTGAAGCCGTCATGATACCGGCAGACCACAGGGTAGAGAAACAGTGAACAAAGAACCAGACTGGGAAGATTGGAGGGGAGGGTGCCCTCTTCGTGTGTTTTTGTGTGTTAGGAAGTTTTTATAGTAAATCATACTGAATGGGAAAACTGTCACTAGGTTTCCAGCTAGGAAAGTGCCAAGTGTTCTTCCAGAACACCCAGATATTGGCCGGTGTCAGTTCCACCCTGTGAGCAAAATACCCCTTGAAGATACAATGCGCATGTCGTCATAACTGTGTTAGCTTGCATCTGATTTAATTCTTACTTATTCTTTTTCTTATCTGCACCTGCTCGGTAGCAAATCAGTGACAGTAGGTATTGGAAGCTTAAGAAAAACATGTTACGTGGAAAGTGAAGGATACTCTAGCCATTGCCTTGCTTTTTGTTGAATTGGGATGTGACTGCCACATGGACCCTTTGTCCTACCCTTGGTGGGTGTGGGTGGCTTTTCTGTGTCACTCACCAGTATTGTCCGGGGTGTGGGGGGGTAAGGCCATGCAAATGTGCCAAGCTTTTTGTTGGGGATGGGGCAGTGGCCTTTGGATTCATTGAGTATGGTCTGGCCAGGGATGAGTGTGGATGGGCAAGGTGGGGCTGGGGGTTTCCCAGAAAGCCCCTTGGCACATGTCAGTGGTTAGGTAGCTGGCCACTGGCGTGTCTGTGTGTCCTAACACCGCCACTGCCCCGTCACCCCCACAGGCCACGCCAAGGATGCGCTGCATCTCGCACAGATGCAGGAGCAGACGCTGCAGCTGGAGCAGCAGTCCAAGCTCAAGGTGCGTGGTGCGCTGGTGCCAGCGGGGGGTGGGGGGGGTGGGGGTGGGGCAGGCAGGCACACAGGGCGGCCGCGGACCCAGGGTGCAGCTTGGGGAAGAAGGAGGCAAAGGGAGGTCCAAGATGGGCACTGGCTGTGCGGCCTGCGTGCCTGGGCGCGGCAGGACCCCTGGGAGGGACGTCTGGTCTTCGGGAGGGCAGGCGTCTCCACTGTGCTTGGCAGTACTCTTGCCGCCAGAGCACGTGGTGAGCGCAGAGCAGGTGCAGGCGCTGCCTTCAGCCACGTGGGCCGTGCGGGCAGTCAGGGAGGGTCTGCATGCAGCACAGTCAGGGAGGGGAGTGGTGGGCACCCCTGGAGAAGACCAACCGTTGGCTCCCTGGGGCCATTCCAGGCCTTTCCTGGTGCTGCTTTCTGCCCGTGGGCCTGGGTGCAGGCCCGGACCACTCTCGCCCTACCCGGGCCTGCCTCCCAGACCAGGCTGGGTGTGGCGAGAATGTGCAGGGGGCGGGGGGTGGTTGTCACGCAGGAGAGCTTTTTCCTGAATGCTTGAGCCAGGAGTTGAAGCTGCTATGCCCACGGCACTCTCTAGCCCTGGCAACAAAGAGACCTTTCTCAAAAGAAAGAAAGAGCCAAGCCGGCATGGCTCCACGCCTGTACATCCTAGCACCTTTGGCGGCCGAGGCGGCGGACCGCATTGCTCAAAGATCAGCTGAGTTTCGAAACACAGCCTGAGCCGAGACTCTGCTGCTACCAAAAAAATAGAAATAAATTAATTGACCAACTAAAAATATATATACAAAAAATTAGCCGGGCATGCGTGGCGCATTCCTGCTAAGTCCACAGCCTGCTCGCGAGGCTGAGGCAAGAAGGATCGGTGAGCCCCGCGAATATTGAGGTTGCTGTGAGCCTGGCTGACGCCACCAGCACTCACTCTAAGCCTGGCACAAAGTGAGACTCTGTCTCCAAAA